ACCCACACCCACTAACACGGAATCGCATACGTGGATGCATTCACAGATATCGGTATGTGAATTCTTTCACCACTACTTATGATGAAAACGGCTTTCTTTCTCTTCTGATTGCTGTTTGGCCTCACTGTCTAGTGTAAATAAGGTCATAGATGAAAATATTAAAAAACAATATTTACCTAAATCTGAATGTTATTGTCAATCCTCTGGCCACATTAAGAGAGAATTAAAGCCAGTTTATTGTTTATTTTGATCAACACAATCATTTGAATAACTAGAGTAGATTGAATACGGATTCTTTAGAGACTTTAGTAATTGGAAATATGGTATCATTACTAGTAGTCGTAGGTTGAATTGTAAATGTTTTCTTATGTTAATTAAGAGCTAATTAATTTTGTTTTTCTTTCTCGTCAGTTTACCTCTGCGGTTGTGTGCTTTCTCGAAGCAAAATAACACATAATATTTTAGGCTTATCACTTTATGTAATGAATTAATTAATTTATTATTATTATTATTATTATTATTATATGGATAATCTGTGACACTTGACATCACTGGAATCAAAGAAAATTCAGGAAGACATTCTCTGGAATGTTGATCGGCCTTTGATAGTGTTTAATAAAAAAGGGTTTTCTTATAATAATATACTAATATAAATTACAAGTGTATGCATATAAGCAATATTTCATGATGGTCAACATTTTCATTGATTTCTTGCAAACTCTTACAAGTAAACCTCCATTGGTTTTAATATTTCGCTAATTTTCGTTATTTATTAAGGAATTACATGAATTACTTAGACTGATCCACCTAACTCTCTTTGTTACTAGTATTTCCCACACGTAGAAATGAGGCTTCTTTGTTAAAATGAGAGGTAGTCCCCAGTCTGTATTTGCTAAGTGCTAGTTTCTGGTACTTAAATCAGGCCAGTCATCCGTTCTGGTTATTATTGTAAGCGTCAGATTGAGATTTGTTGGTTGACGATAGAAGGTTTGTATCCTATGTGTTAATCCGTATTTAGTATATTTGTGTTCTTGTTTGAACCCTTCTTTTATATATGAGTCATTTGAGGGTGCTGACATCAACTCTACTGGGAATTGGTCGGAGAAATTGATGACTCAGTGTAAAAACCAATAAATACTCCACATCAATATAGCTTCTCTTTGACTTTTGAATTCTTCTGGTATGTTCCAAGCTGATGGAAAGGAGTCATTAGTGAAAATTTTAGTGAGATCTCCTCTCCGCCCACGATATGACAAGGAGACACGATTTAAACTGTTTAGTCTTTATTCGTATGATAAGCTAGTCATGCCAATAATCATAAGTTTTACAGGATTTCATCATGACCTGACATTGGTGAGAGAACCATTGGAAAACCTGGGAGTACTGGACAGCTGCTTCGTCCTAGTTTGGGACTCTTTAGCAGTACGCAGCTTCTGCCAGGGTTCAAACCAAGGACCTTGTGGTTACAAGGCGATCTCGTAGACCATTAAACCACTGCGACCCAATCCAATGGCTCATGAATTCTAACTTCTGCCAATTCACGACATAGCACGACCCCTAGCCAATGTTTTCGGCCAGTATTTGTCCTCACACCCGACCTGCTGAAGTCTACTGGTCACGACTTCTCGTCGTGCCGTTGGTTGAACCCTTTCTGGAATATGTGAGTCCCCCTTTTTTTCAGACAAGGACTGGTTGTCTGGACACAGTTTTCCAGTATTGATCTCACCAAAGATGTGTCTAAATAGTTAAACCAATAACTGGGGATTCTAGTAAACGTTCTACTAATTACTTATAAAGATTTGAAACCACATGCGCAGTTACCGAGCGACAATGTGCTGCAGTTTTTAAATCGTGTCTTACCCTGACACCTAAATCCAAATAAGTCTGAACTGATGGGAGTGTTATTCCCCCCCCTAGTATGTAGGAGATAATGCTTGCATGTCAAGTACGCATTTCACCACGTTGACTCGGAGCATCCATTTTCTGGATTATAAAATATTAAAAATACCTCTGATGCAAGGAACTTCAGTGTTGGTATCGTTTTAAGAGAAATTTTCTTCAAAAATGTTAAGTAATCAGCGAAATAAATAATAAGCTCTTTATGACACAAACTGAGTCCTGGGTCACTAATTGGTCGCATTCCTACTTCTCAAACAGAATGCAGTACACCGTATACAAAGGCGAATCCTCCCCTGCTGTGCTCACTGAAGCTCGTGTTCCCCAAGGTGCTATACTCTCCCCACTTCTCTTTCTTTCTTTCTACATGACTTACAGTCTTCAAATGACATTAATTTTGTTAAATATGCTGACGACCTGACTGTATCTTTGCCTGTCAAATGTCAAAGTGACTGCTCCAAACTTTAATGGCTTTTTATCAGAAATCAGCCAGTGGTCCAAGGAAAACGGTCTAACCTTGGTTCCTTCTAAATGCCAAACAGTCAATTTCACCTTTACGCATAAATCTGACCTAAACAAACTGGTTAGCACTCACGGTGTATGCAACATAGATGGCACTGGAATAGAAACCAAGTTGGAAATTAAATATTTTGGCGTCATTCTATCTGCTGATCTTTCCTGGTCGCCTCCTACCTTGATGATTTCTAAGAAAATATTCCGTCTTATCTTCTACATCAAGAAGTTAAGACATTCTGGAATAATCCAACCCAACCCTTTCTCCTACAATTCGTTAACCCTTGCATCCTATCTATTATTCTCTATTGTTCCCATTTAGTTTTTCCAGGGATACTGAAGAAAGACTATACCTTATTACGTAGGATTATAAAGGTTGCCAACAGGGTAAGCGACGTGTCACTTGACCAGCTTGTTAATATTCTGGTCGACAGGCACTTGGATTCATGTGAAAAATGGACTAAATTCATTCTATCTAACTGACACCACGTTCTTCATTCACAACTCTCCCCTTGTATCTCTTCAGGGAAAACCAGAAGCCTATATAGAAAACTATATGCTCGCACTGGTAAGTACAAAAACTCAGCCATACCCTACTTAGCTCGTGTTCTGTGCGATAAAGAAAGCATTAGGCGTGATACCTATAACTTATTAAATAGTCAGTAGGAAAACTGGATCTTGTCTTTCCAGCTCATATCATTTATAGGTACAACGTTTTCTTCTTCTCTTTTCCTTTTCTCTTTTTTTTCTGTTATGTCCTACTTTGTTTCTTTCTTCCTTACAAACTCTATCTAAAACATTCTTCTTCATTCTTTTACACTCTGTATATTTCGACCTTTGTGTTACCGCTTACGCCAGTAAATATGTTAGCATCTACTTTTCTAACACCTTCAAACACTCTGTTCAATTTTTGGCTTTCCTTCCGACATGCCGATATGCTGTTGTTATAACTAACTGAGATTACCCCTAATCTATATAGAATTTTATTTTTGTTAATGTACCAACTGGATGTAATACTGTAGTAAAATGCTGAGAATTCCATTCTGTATGACAAGTACTGTTTTAGAATAAAGCAAATTATTATTATTATTAATGTAATATTCTTTAATCTAATACACTTTATAGTGTTTCATCAGACTAAGTTTTGTATCCTGAGATAATTAACAGTTATTCTGCATACACCAGTTGTCTGTCTGTCACCATTTGTCTTTTTCCTTTTCAGCTGATTTACGCCTAAACTTATATTTATTTCATTTTAAAATTGATTAATGAGGGTTATATTTATGAAATGGCTAGGCGTACATAATTTAATTTTTTCTCAGTGGAGACACTGGCTGGTGTTTATCCGCATATTTGAGTAGAGTAGGCTAAGAAGGAATAAAGATCAAGTGTAGAGCTTTAGCAGCTTTCTTTTTTTTCTTGATTTATGAGATGAATGTACCTGCTTTGTAACAAGATAACAGAGCTGTAGCTAATAATAACGTATATACCATGGCTTATTCTTAGTTCAATTATATACTATACGAAGAAATGTCATAAGTAACCCTTATATCAATGAATACTGAGTATGTATGAGTCTTTCAAACTTCTCTATTTGACGATGAGTCTTAGTCATTCGTTTACTTCATGTTACTTGGATGGCCATCAAAATCATATTAATGTTTTTTTTTGTTAATTTCAACACCGAGAATCAAATGACAATTAGTTTCTCTGCTCGTTAGTTGATAAGAACTTGAATTTTAACTTACTGACGTCAGCACGATATGCTTTTATTTGCTCATGTGTGGTCACTGATTTTCTTTGATAATAGTTAACGATAAATTAGATCAGAAACCGGTAATAGCACGGGGTTTGGAAATCACCGGAAGCACGCACCCACCACAGGCGGGGGGGGTGTTCGAACCCAGGACCTTCAGGTTACAAGGTAAGCTCGTATACCATTCAGTCACTGGGATCCGATTCAATGGCCAGCCTATGAATTGTGACTTCTACCAATTCGTGATTTAGCGAGATATCAACCAATGTCGTCGGTGGGACATCCATTCTCACACACGTGACATCTGGATGAACCTCACTGGTCACGACTTCTCACTAGAACTCCAGGAAACTCCATCCTTTAGCAAGTCAACTAGCGAGCATCAGATTAATTTTCTATAATTTGGTTTGTAAGGGTTACTTTTGTTTTTACGAGTTGAGATCACGCTACATCACGAATTGGTAGAAGTTATAATTCATGAGCTGGCCAGTGAATCGGATCTCAGTGACTGAATGGTATACGAGCTTGCTGGTCTTGTCACCGGAAAGTCCTGGGTCCGAAACCCCCTCTGTGGTGGGTGCGTACTGCCGATAATTCCAAACTAGGATGAAACAGCAGCTGTCCAGTACTCCCTGCAGCTGGTTTTCAATGGTTCTCTAACTAATACCAATCCATGATCAACTCGTAAAAAGTAAAACTAACCCTTACAAATCAAACTATAGAAAATAAATGAACTTTATGTATAAAACGATAAAAGAAAATGACTGACTGATTGCCTTTTATTTTTCATTTTATTTATAAATATATATATATATTTTTTTAAATTCAATTTTAGTTCAGAGCATAGATAATTGTTTCCCAGCGACAGTTCGACGATGGCTTGGCATTGTAATTGCACTACTTGATGTATTCCTTTTCGGTGGTTATCACTACGGTTTCAATTCTCTGGTTGAAGTTTACAAATCAGTTGGCTTGTATTCATACAATTGTACACAGGATGGATGTTTATATCATGAAAATATGTTCGGTGTTGTCTTCATTGTCTGGATGGTATCACAAATGTGTCTTATTGTATTTGCTGGTATACTTATGGATATTGCAGGATTAAGAATAACAAAATTAGTAGCAGCAGTAATGTATTCTGTTGGTACACTAATGTTTGCCTTTACAACCGCTTCGACTGTCCCTCTGTTCTATGCTGCTGGGATATTGGTGGCTTTAGCGAGTATCATGAGTTTAATATGTAATCATCAAGTTAGTTCTATGTTTCCACAAGTACGTGGTTTATGCATATCACTGATGTCTGGAGCATTTGATTCAAGTACACTGATTGCTTTTATCATATCACTGACATATAAAACCTTTCCATTCAAATGGTCATTTATTATATTGGCTATCTGCTCACTAGCTGTTGGAACTTTTGTAGCACTTTTCATTCTGACAAGATATACAAAAGATATGGGAAATTATGCTGCTTCGAATACAAAAGATGAAGTCGTCTTATCCGAGGTAAGTGATCATTAGTTGTTTTTAACTTTGGTAAAGCGTTTCAATGTACTCAAGTATGCAATTTCTGGTGGATATGTTTAAAATTAATTACACATGATAGATAGATAGATAGGATAGGATAGTGGTGAGATGTAGAAATTTGAAGTCTGAGGATGAGAATGACTGGAAAAGTCAAAGTTACATCACAAAGCATTAAAAACGATCCGATTACTACAGGTGTATATAACTTTTGCTATTTCTAGCCATCATTTATTTACGCTATTTTGTTTCAAGCCTAACTTCACTTAAATTCACATTCATTCGCATTTCTGTCTTGTCTGTTTGAACACCACATCTATACGTTGCACAATCACTTAGCTAAGCAAAATAACCGGAAAGTAGTACTACACGAAAACGTAGACTCTATGATAAAGACAAAGTAACACTTAGTCGTCTAATAAACTAATAATAATTTTTTCCTTCACGTTCCCAGTGGAACATAGGACTTCAAGCTAGTGGCTTGAAGTTCCTATAGCAGTGGTGTTTATTTTTACAGGATGGGGTTGCTAGCTAGCCTCATGCCCAACCTTTCCTCTTTACCAGCATTATTTCTGGCTTAGCGAGGTAAAGGAGTGTGGCGTCAGTGGCCGGTGATCGAACCTCGGACCATGTGCATGGTCGGCGTGCGTCCTAACCGCTTTGCCACCGACGAACTGTCTAATAAACTAACTCCAACCAAATACCAGAACAGAAAAGTTGTGCAAAAGTTCTCTGCTTTCGTAGAACACACGTACCACATATACATACATCTTATAATTGATCTTATTTATCCTCTTTTTTCGTCTTACAGGATGCTTCAGCTGGAGATCTGCCAAAAACTGATATCTATGGTGAAATATCTTCAGTGCTGGATGAACGTTTTCCATCTCTCAAGAGTTGTATCCTCTCAATGCCTTACCTGTTAATCAATATTTGGTTTACTCTAGGTCTATTTCGTTTCTCATTTTATTTAACTCATTTTGTCAAGCATATTACCGCCATGTTTATTACTGATGCAACGCTTAAGGTGCATTTATTATCTGTATCTTCAGCATTCTTTCTGTCTGGATTTTTTGTAGCACCAGTTACCGGTACTATTATTGATTACTTTCTTCGTAGAGCTCGACAGAAAATTGAACAAATGTTAATTAATAAGAAAGATATGTACTATCCAAATAAAATCTATTATACTCTAGTGTGTGGATTAGTACCAGCACTTAGCCTAATGACTGCTTTTGCTGTCCTACTAAGTCTTATGATGTTTATACCACACTATGTAGCCTGCTATGCTGCATTCATCTTCTTAGTTGTTGTTAGGTCGCTGTTATTCAGTACATTTATTAGTTTCCTTCTATCTGCCTTTCCAATACGTTATTTCGGTACACTGAATGGTATATCTAGTACAGTGGCTGGTCTAATCAGTTTAATACAGTATGCTTTCTTGGAGACCTCTACGCTTACAGATAATATTTTCAGTTTAATCATTTCAATAGGTACATTTGTTATACCAGTTGTATTTGTAATTCTTGCTAGAAAGAATTAACCTAAACTTATTCAGCGTGCTAAATTTTCGCCTTTTTTTATGCTTACAAAAAACCAACACAATCATATGGTTCTTTTCGTTTTTTCAACATATATATATTAGATTTTGTATTTTCTTTTCCTTTTCTTCTTTTTTGGTTGAGAACAATTATGCAGAGAATTTCAATTTTTTTGAAAAATAAAAATAAATGATTTCCATTAGCTCCTTTATTGTATATCCAAAATAAAAATAGAAGTTTTTTTTATCTTTAATGCATTTGTGTTTTGAAATTTAATTTATTATATCCTTTAATTCCTAGAGGAACATAGGGCTTCAGCCACGCACGTCTCCATTGCCTTCTGTTTTCTGCCAGCTTTTTTCACTCACCTCCAAGTCTGCCCACACATGCTTCCATTCTCCTCCTCACATGACCTCCTCCTCCAAGTCACCTCACCGTGGGACGACCAACTCGCCGCTTCTCATTCTGTCGGGTTCCACTCGAGCAATGGCTTGTCTAGTGATGTCACTTGATGGTTTGTTTCCTCAGTGTATGGCCAGCCAATCCATCTCCATTTCTTCCTGCCTATTTGTTTCACAATCGGCTCCTGCTGGGTTGGTTCACTTATTGCCAGAGATCTTTGTTGTTGATCTTTTCTGCCCGGCCATCTGATCTTGAGTAGTATAGAGCGAAGACAACTGTTAATGAAGGTCTGAAGTTTGTTGGAGATGCTCTTTATGACTCGCTGGTCAAGTCTCTGATCCGTAAAGTAGCACCGACTGACTTCACATTGGAGTTGAAAATCCGGATCTTATTTTTGAGGCTGAGTAGTGGTGTTGACCTCCACACAGACTTAAGGGTAATGAAAGCCTGTCTTGCTTTTCCGATTCTGGCTTTGATACCCTCGTCAGTTCCGCCGGCCTGTAGTTGAAACGATGCTTCCCAGGTCAGTAGGTGAAGGGGGTTGTTTCTTTCAGGTTTCCCCCATTTATGCTGACTGACTGTCGTCTGTTGTTGTCTGAATTTAGAATGTCTTACATTCTAAAGATGATTATAGATAGTTGCATGATATATATATATATATATATATATATATATATATATATATTATAAACTAGAGGTAAACTAAAGGCCTACAGTCCAAGTATCCACTTTGAATTTCAAAGAGAAGAAGTCATCACTTTTAGTCTGTGCTACTGGCATTTTGCACTAATCATTAGAGTTATAGCCACTGAACATTTCCATGAGAAACTAATTGTACCTAATTTAAATTCTGTCATAAAGTGAACACCTGTCTAAATTTAGCCAAGCAAGCAATTAAACAATATCCATTACATAAATAAATTCAACAGTGTTCAGTCACACACAGGCTTCAGTCAATGGAATGTTCCATTTAAATAAGGATAATGGGTCAAGGCTAATCATCACAATTCATGGAAGCGTATTACGAAGTCTGTAATCTTTTTTTTTGCTGAGGTATACAAAATACGTAGGCATATTGAGGAAATGAAATGCAGACCTTCAGTTTGTGAGGTAGGGACGATTGCCTCTTATTGCGTTAGCGGAAATCTATTAAGTCACATGGCTGTAAGAGTTAAAAGAGTTCAGTTACTTTAGCAAACAACCAACCAACCTTCATATAATTGCAATTCAAAAGCAAAGTACTAGCAGAGATTGTTGTTAGTTAGTTGATTAGGGGGTTACAGGGAATTGTTATTGATATTTTCTATTTGCCCGACTGCGATACTTTCTCTGATGGTTAACTTGTCTATGCTACCAAAAGAAGCTATCTGTAGCGTAAAACTTGTGCGGAAAAAAAGCTTACACTTTACTGACTTATTCGCTTACGCACACATCTAACCTTTTAATTCATAGTCTATCGATGTTATTATGAACTAATGCAGATTTTATATAAATAACCGTAATAAATGTTACTGAATCAATCGATGCAAATCTTGTTAACGTATTCAAGAAACAGTGACGGTGTGACATCTACAGTTGACCCAGAGAGTATTGCATTCACGGACTACTAAGTAGGCCACCCTTTTCGTTGACTATTCCATGTTCCCAAAAAGATAAAAGAAATACGCAATCCATAACAATGTATATACTTAAAATGAAGTGAGAGTTATGTAATTGAGAAATAATTTGGTCTTAAAATAAATACACTCTAACACTTTAAAATCGTCTGTAAAAAGATTAGCGGTAATTTTCGCATTCGCGGATGGAGCATTCTTACGTTGAACTCACTGTAGTGTCTACTGATCATGTTTCCACAAGATCTGGATAACTTTCCTTCCTTTGACGGTAAAATTGCGGTTTTAATTATCCACGAATGTAATATTTTGAATATTAGTATTAAGGTTATATTCCTCTGACCATCCTTGATTGTGTTAGAATGTGTCTACGACTACATATAGTAGGTGAATCGTTTTTACCTCCAGTAGATAATCCTTTAGCATAAGTATACGGCACATATTAACATGGGAGCCAAAACTGATGCCACTGCCATACTCTACTGGAAATGTCTACGACAGAATAACGTATTTCGAGTAACTTCTTACTCTATACTTTCATCGTTGATATGTACGTCGTAATTGGAATTAATTGTGAATGACAATCCTCCCCGGATACAGAGTCATTCTATTCATTTTCAGCGATTTACGGAACCTGTAAAAGTGTCATATTGTAGAATAAGACTTACGCGTACGAAACCTGTTCCGTTTGTGTGATGCAGAAACTGTCGCATGACTTAGGTCACAGTAGCTACTGTGGCAATATACTTCAACGTCGTTTCAACGGTGAAGTTAAACTTTCGACACCACTAACTACCAATCAGCGAATTATCCAATGAGATTCACGAACGATGTCGAATTATCCAATGAGGTTCACGAACGCAGTTCAATGTTGTATAACGCTTGATTCATTTCTAATGCGTGACCTTACAAGGCTACTGTTGCAGTTCGAGGAGGTTAGTGTTTTCCAGTATTTCCTGGATTTGGGTTGCTCCGGAAAGAGCGAATTTCTTTGTGTTGTAGTATCATTACTTTAAAAAGCTATACCGAATCAACTGATGGGTTTGTTCAATATCCAATATCCTGATTACGAGCTAGTATAAACCAGTGATTTCTTTGAGCTCGCTCTTGATTGTGAGGTAGAGGTTCCAGATCTTCGGTGAGCTTCTGCGTAGTAAGTCCCGACACTCGACTGCTTTAGCTCTGGTAGACTCCAGGAGGAGTGGTGGGGGATTGGTCAAGATGTGGTTTGTAGTATGCAGTATGTTAGGACTGTATTGCTGCCGTGAATGGAGTTTGACCTAACTCCCCTTGGTCATTCGGTGTAGTCATAAAAAGCAGAATAGTAGTAATAATAATAAGAATAAAAATAATGGGTTGTAGTGTAGATAATATAGGTTGAGATAAGTGGAATAATAAAGGTGACCTAAGGAAAAGATAGAGTGAGAGAAGGCAGAAAAGGTTGTGGGGATTTAGTTTGTACGCTTATTCATTGACAGTGTGGTTTCAAATTTCATGAGGATAAGCCATTGAGACACAAACCTTGCATTTCTGCATGATTGTCTAGCTTCCGCTTAAAAATCTCCAGAGATGGCGCTGTAGTCACGGCCGCCGGTAAAGCGTTCCAGAGACGGCAAACACGAAGCGAAAAGAAATGTGATCGCACTCGAGTCTTTGGTCTCTGGTGTTCTATCCTTAGCGGGTTACCTCGTGGAAGCCTATAATCGCTTAATGGCAGGATGCTTTTATTTGGGTGGGCATGGTCATTTAGGATCTAGTAGACGGTGATGAGGTCTCCCCTGTGCCTACGGTAACTAAGTGTGAAAAGTCCTAATTTCTTTAGTCTTTCCTCATATGATTTGTTGCGGAGGCCGACCACCCATTTTGTCGCTCGTCTCTGGACACTTTCTAGAATGTTAGCATCCCTTTTGAGTAGCGGAGGTGCAATGATATTGTGCACCTCAAGGTGTGGCCTCACATATGCCTTGTATAGCCTTAAGAACAGTTCGGGAGTGAGAGCTCCCAGCTGCCTGTGCATAAAGTGTAATGTTGCGTAGGCTTTGGCGACGTCCCTCGAGTAATTTCCACTGGTGTCTAGCTTTTCTGTTAGAATAAGACCTAGATCACGCTCTGATGGAACACAACTCAAGATCTGGCCACCAAGGGTGTAATTTACACTCTGTGACCTGCCGGAATGAAGCTGCACTACTTTGCACTTCTTTAGATTGAAAGGCATTCCGTTAGCCAAAGCCCAATTTCCCAGAGTTTGCAGGTCAGCCTGCAATCTATCTGAGTCTTCCGATGAGTTTATTGCTCTCCAAATCTTTACGTCGTCAGCGTAAAGAAGCGCAGAGCAGTTTAGTTGGGGGGCAGGTCATTGATAAAAATCAAAAACATCAACGGCCCTAGGATAGAACCCTGAGGAACCCCTGATGCCGAGGTGTGCCAGGATGATCGGATGCGGTTGACTTTGGTGCAGAATTCTCTCTCACCTAGGTAATCTTTCAGCCATGTTCATCGTTGTGCTATATGTTTGAAGCCTACTAACACTGGAGGGGGTAAGCTGATAGTTTTAATATTTCGTAGGAACTTACTTTCGCTAGGTCACATCTCTCCATAACCCAGATTTTGTATATCTGCAACTAATGGGTGTTGAAACAGGCTGTGAGAGCAGCAGCTGCCGAGATGGAGAATAGCCATGTCTCAACAGTTCAGTGGTAACAGCATTGCAGAGACATAGCACCATGGAAAATGGAGAAAATCACTTGTTTGCTGGGTGGGGAAGACGCTATCGTGCATGTCGATGAGACAGTGCTGGTAAAATAGAAATACAACCGTGGTCACCAGCGAGCGAACAATATTTGGGTAATAGGTTTGTATGACACCTCCCTCCGAAAGGGATTCGTCGAAAGGAAAGCAGATGGAAAAGGATTGACAGTCCCATGCTAAACTGGGAGATGTTTCTCTCACATGTTCGAGAAAGATATCCCATGTAACTTTTTTATACTCTATTTTGTACTTTTTCCTACAAATATACATTTCCATTCATTATATATGCCTCTTTAATGTAATTGGTTCGTTCAAGGTCGTTTGCTGATTGGTTGTTAGTGGTGTCTAAAGTTTAACTTTGCCCTTTCAACAATGTTAGTAGGAGTGGATAATTGCACTTCAACACTTCTCGCTAAAACTACACCTATACCTAGAGGTGTATATACACGAACAATCCTTTGATATGACATTCGTCATATTAGAGAAT